CAATAATAGGCAATGGCCTAAGATTGCCCTGACCAAAATACCCCGCCGAATAAATTCAAAAAACGCATGCAACTGAGGTAAAAAGTCAACGTAAGGCGACCCTACCTCCATCCAATTGTAATTCGTAAACAATTCGGTACGGCAAAGTTTTTGTCCACACATAGTACAAATGATAGGCAACGCCCTACAGTTACCTGGACCAACAGACCCAGGTGGATTAATTCACAGATCTCCTGTATCTGAGGTCCAAAGTTTGGGAATGGTGACCTTAACCCTAGCCTCCTAACTTTAATACGTAAAATCATCAAAACGGTAAAGCTTGTGTCCACACGAGGTAAAAATGATCGGCAATAACCGAAAGTTCACGGACCAAAAGGCAAAGGTGGATAACAGAACGTCATCAACGGAAGTCCAAGCCAGGGATATGGCGACCCTACACCCCTCCCAACTTCAATTCGTAAAAAAATCCATACGGCAAATGTTTGTTCTACAGTAAGAACAAATGATTGGCAATGATCGAAGGTTGCATGAACCAATAGGCCAAGGTGGGTAAATTCACAGAACGTCACCAACTGAAGTCCAAGCCAGGGGTATGGCGACCCTACACCCCTCCCAACTTCAATTCGTAAAAAAATTCCATACATTTTTGGTCTACAGTAAGAACAAATGATAGGCAATGACCTGATGTTGCCCGGACCAAAATGCCCAGTAAGGCAAATTCACGGAAAACCTGCAACTGGAGTCCAAATTCGGGGAATGTTGAATCTAACCCTTCCTGACTTTAATTCGTTAAAAAAAATCAACAGCAAAGCATTTGTTCACAATAGGCATGATAGGTACAAATAATCGGCAACAGCCGCAGGTTGCACGAAACAAAAGGCCCAGGTGAGTCAATTCACAAAACGCAATCAATTTAAGTCCAAACTTGGGTTCTGCCGACCCTATCCCCGCTCCCAACATTAATTTGTAAAATATTTCCTACGGCAAAGCTTTGGTCTTCAAAAGGTACATATGATAGGCAATGGTTTAAGGCTGCCCGGACCAAAAGACCCATGTGGGTTAATTTACGGAATGCCTGCAACTGAAGTTTAAATGGTGACCATATACCCCTCCCAACTTTAATTCGTAAAAAGATTCCCATTGATAAAGATTTTTGTCCATACTAGGTACAAAGGATATGCAATGACAGAAGGTTGCATGGACCAAAAAGACCCAGATGGGTAAATTTACAGAACGCCTGAAATTGTAGTCAAAATTTTGGGTTTGGCGGATATACCCCTTTCCAGTTTTATTTTGTAAAAAAAATCACTTTGGCATAGCTTTTATCTATATTAGGTACAAATGATAGGCAATGGCCTAAGTTTACCAGGACCAAAAGGCCAAAGTGCATGAGTAAAGGAGTAGGTTCAATGAGGCCGTAAAATCGCTCCTATTTCTAGCTTAAATTTCAAATTGGTGCTATTGATAAATCAAGAAATTATAAGGAAACTAAGGTTTATTTATGATGAATTTGATTTCTTTTGAGGTCATATAGTGCTTACGTTTAGAACTATGTAGTTATACAGTCCTGGCTTTCAAGTGTTTAGAATTTAGCATTCCTGATGAAGTTACATTTTAACAATCCAGAACAGTTATTCTGACGCATGTAAGTAATAGATGCTTAATGAATTTACTTTAATAATATCGTGTGTCCGAAGAGCTTTTCTTGCTTTACTTTCTTGAGGAACGCTCGAACCCTAACTTTAGAAAATAAAAGATGTACGAATACATAAATACACGAGGAGCTAACTATACATGCGTACATGAATGATGTGTATGAACAAAAACACATAAAACGGTTACACGAATTCATCTAAAGTAAACCTTGCATAAAGGAGTTGATTGATTTATTATTGGTTGCTTAACGTCCAACGGCAAATTTGTCACGCGTATTTAGGACGAGAACAAATTAAAAATAAATGAAACAGGTAGGCCCTGCAATAGTTGCAAAGGTTCTTAACGAGCAAGAAAGCGTGGCATTCTCTTTACACGAGGTATCTGACGGGACTTGACTGAGCTGTCAAACGGAAGCCCGACATTGGCAAGCGTTGTACTGCTGGTCAGACAAAAAACCCGGGAATGACTATATTACTATACCCCAGTTCATCCTTGGTGTTAATATTTATTGGCCAATTTGTTATCCATAATTTGTTGTAGATGAGTCAATGGTTGTGTGTACCAATCGTGTAAGATTGCTCTTTGGGGGAACAAATCAATTATAAGGTGTATGAAGTATAAGTAGGCGATACAAATAAGTTGCTATCAAAAGTACACCTACTAATAGTACAACATGGTCCGAAACTCCGGCATCAATGTCAAATTGATATGCCGGTATATAATTGTCAACTTATCCTAATGACAAACAATCTCACCAAGTTTTGTCACATAGACTAAGTAGAGATCCCTGCACAAGTGTCAGCGAGCTTCAATAGAAAACATAATGGCCAAAGTCAAAATATGTCTGCAAAGAATTGTCAAAACAAAATAGGACGGTAGTCATGTAGTGTATGATCACGACAATACGATACATCATTAACCTACGACGTATCAAAAATGTTTGGCAAACTAATTCTGTAAATGATTATTTACAGCCGGACACATGGACAGACAGGCGAACGAAGCGCTTACTATCACTAAATTTGAGACAAGGGATAAATAGTTGGACAAAGGGCTTACTTGTGTTGCTGTTGAAGGTAATTATTCAGTCAATGATAAATCTAAAGGACTCGGTTTGATACACTTTACACTTTTAAATGTGTGCCATTGACTGTATACTATTATAATTTTACTTTTTCTTGTGTATAGAAAGTAATGAATTTAAATTGACTCATCGTTTTATTTTTTTACATTTTTGCTGTTAAAAGTAAACTCTACTTCACATTTCGAGCTACTCCGCTTACCTTGCAAAATATAACAATAAAAGTTCAGCCTTCCAAATATTTGTCAAAAAGTAGGTCTTACATCAGTAAATATTATAATATAAAGCCTCATTAAAAAAACCCATATGAAAAATTAAATAAAAATATAATAAAAGTCGAATGACATCTTTACCAGAAGAGAATATAAGAAAACAAGAGAGGACTAGATGTGTTGATGAATGACAGCTTAAAACACGCATGACTGTTATTTCCTCTAACACCCAAATGGTGACTGGGGAATATAAATTTACTTTGGTCTTTTTCCGATCAGGAGTATAACCCTCGCCGAAGTAGAGCGTCCGTTTGGCTGTGAGGGATGTACAAGTATACGCAGCCACGTCCGGTCAGAGTTTGGACGTTAAATATGATGTCTCTTGTATAGAGAGTGCCACGCTCTTGGAACTTTAAGAAACTTTGCATACGGTTCCGTGAATGGTTCGTAGGTGGTCTGCTGCAAGGGGAAATTTTCCCAAACTTCATCCCAGACGGCCTCTATTACAGGACCTACCTATTGTTTGTATTGTTTATTTGTTTTTATTCTGAACATGCGTGAAATAGTTGTCACTGGACGTTAAGCAACCAACAATTAATTGACATATCTATCTTCCTCTGGCAACACCAAATCTTTAGGACTTATTCGGGTTCTTTTTTTTTTATTTTTATCATGCATTTTTATCTATGTTTTAAATTCAAGCTATTTCGTGTATTATTTAATAAAAAAAATGGTATTTATATTACAGTTTTGTCTTTTATCGTAAATTTAAAGTATGTACTAAACACCAACCCTGAGAGTATCATTTAAACATGTTGATATTAAAAAAAAAATATATTAATAATGTCTCTTATACTAGGCCATCCGTCAGAACTTCTCTTGGTGTGTTCATACATTTTCTTGTTTTGTTTCATGTGAATGTTGTTGTAAGCTACATACCAAAGTATAAATTCGTATTCACGCATTACAGCGGATTAGGTCTGACTATCCATAAAACTAGACAAACATGAGCCTGTAGTTCAGTGGTTGTCGTTGGTTCTTGTCTGTCGTATTTGTTTTTCGTTAAATGTTTTGTTATGAATAAGGCCGTTAGTTTTCTCAATTGACTTGTTTCATATTTTTCATGACGGGGGCTTTTATAGCCGACTAAACGGTATGGGTTTTCTCGTGGTTGAAGGCTGTACGGTTGCCTATAATTGCTTACGTCCACTCTATTTGAACTTTGGTGGATCATAGTTGTCTCATTTGCAATCATACCTCATCTCCTTATTTTTATATAAGTTGAAAAATGAAACATGTTCAGGAACATATTTCATATAGTCATAATGAGTCCTGTGAATTTATACGAAATTGATGGGGTTCGACGCTCACTGTCCTGTAAAACAGGAATTGTCTTAATGGTCACGTTCCTTACGCGCGCGTGTAATTTGTATTCACATTTTTTCTCGATAGACGTAAGTCGCTCGGGTTCTACCATTCATGAATATCTATTGGTGAAGTTTATCTTAAATCTTTCAATAAAACCAATTTTTTTGATTTTTAATAATGTCTAAAGATATTTTTTACAAAAGAAAAACAATCTTTGTAATCGTTTGAAATTTCGTAAACAAAAAAATCATTTTTTGCAACTGTTTCTGTTGTGTGCAAAATATCCTAATCACATACATTCTTTATTGTAACGAAAAACAAAAATTATTAATAAAAGGAGAGGCTATCATAAACTGGATTACAACTCTTGTTTTACATGACAGTGAGTGTCGAATCCGACGAACTTTTTTTATAACATTAGATATGTAGATATCTAGATGAAAAAAGAAAGTCATACAAGAGTTTTCTGTTGTTTGATAATTTTTTAAAACGACAGTTACATGTACGTATACTGCACTACATGAACAATCAAATTGAAAGAGATGTGATACCTAACATGAATATTTTTTCGATACACTTCTTCGATTAATTTTGAAATATCAACCAAATTTAAAATAGAATTGCAGCTGTCGAAATAAAGACATCACGCAATATATTAGTCAACTTTGTTTTCAACAATCAATAAAACGAATTCGCAGATGTGAAATATGCCTCCATATATTGGTATGTTATTTTATCTTATTATCCTTCAATTTATTTGTACAATTGCTACAATTAAGCTCACGTCATGCCATAATCAATTGTACCATGCAAATATCTATACGAATGATGATGTTCATTATTGTTTTGTTTAACGTTTAGTGGCAAATATTTCAAGTCGATCACGTTACCATTGTAAACGAGATAATCTTGAGAATGCAGTGAATGGGAGTATGGATAAGGTTGGAGTCGTTGTTGTTAGCTTAAAATATAAGAGAAAAACAAAGGATATGGGTATCCATCTATGACACAAAAATCAGTAAATGCACAGCGAAAACACACAAAAAGCAAATGAATAGCGTTGCACAAGGCATTCATTTTATTCTTTAAGCTAAGAACAACGTAGGTATGATCAGTCGCAATTAATTGGGCAATACAATTCTACCATTTTAATGCAACAAATTATATGTATTTATTTCAGAAGTAAAATATCTTCAATTTAATCTAAAATTGATCAACGCTTAATCTTTATTATATACCTATATTTTCTTTCAGAACGTCAAGTCTTTCTTTTGAAAAATCAACCCGGATGATACCAACTTTCAATGGGTATGATATTCAATTCTGACTAAGTTCTCTGTTTAAAAAACTGTTGAAAAATAATCTGCTTTTCCGCGATGAAAATGTCACGAAAAAATAGAAAAAAAAAACATAGCATCCCCCGTTCTTAAAATAAGTTGAAAATAAATTACTTACAAAGTGACTTGTATTTTTCATACACCGTAACAATTCATTTGTGTCTTGCTTCGTATATGTAAGAGAATGATAATCCCTTTCTTCATGATTAAGTACGAGCGTTAGCGAGTACTTATCATGAAGTAAGGGATTATCATTCTCTTACAAACTTAGAATATTGTAAAGTGCTCAAGGCTTAAATGATCTCTTGATTGGTTTTTTTCAAGAATTAGTTTCTTTGTCAGTGCAATGTTTATAATTGATGCATGACTTCCTTTTTCGGCATGTCATTTATGGATTAGTTTTAGTGATGTAAGGACTTTCTTATCATTTGGGAAATATTTTTAACAAAAATGCGTTATAGATATAAGTTGACACAACAGTACAAAAAAATGTTGGAATTGTATATATTTACTGATTGTGAGTATGAATGTAAATCATGTAATATTTTGGTGAGGAATGATCCTTTTTTTATCATTTACAGTTTAAATCAATTAATACTTTTGAGTTACAACTAAATTTTATTTCACAGTCAATATTTTGGTCCGGCTTTTTACATCAAATACTATTTCATTATGTCAGGGAAATGTTCAAATAAAATGCCTTTAAAAGTTTTTAATTTGTTCAAAACTTAAATTCCTTTTATTTTTATGTTATCGGACTATTGGAAATAACTAATCTTCCCGACAGCTGATCCAGTATTCAAAGTTTTGGAAAGCTAAAGATTTAGGTTATTTTTTATTTTAAACTTTTTTTTTCTTTTTTTGTATTGCTTTGATATTGTTTAATTTCTTAGTAATTTGAGGTTATTAATATTATCATTATTACATTCACGGTACCAATTTTACTGCACCAGTAAACTTCAACTTATTTTAAGTTTGTTGTTTGTTTCACAATTCAACTTTTAGTCAGTTTCAATCACTGTGTGATAAATCCTTTCAATCTGATCATGCTGATAAATGTGCTTCGGGGCAGTTGTAACTCATTTATAGAAACTCTTTATTTTGAACTGTAAATAGACCCAAATAATAGGATAATCCCTTACTAAGAACATGATTTACATTCATTCTTCACAATTAAGAGGCATCAAATCCTACAATTTCATTGGTCGAGAGCACTTTGCTATATTCTAAATGCATTTAGTGATATTTCTTTTGTAACTGGATAAAGATTGCTAACGCTTATTATATCTAGATTAATTAATGAGTTTTATTTCACGTTTCTAATGAGCCATAGGGCGTATTAAAACCAGTACGGATCAGAAAAGAATATCTCACTTTAGTGTGGTCGGTAAAATATGATGGAAATCTTGCAAATCTTTTCAGAAAATAATATTTTTTTACGGTATATAAGTCAGATAATGCATATCTTAAGGTTTTTCTTGTCGTATAACACACATCGGGGTGTCAGGATTGCCCAAAGAAAGATCTCCCTCCGGTCGGTCTTTCATTTGATCAATCCTGACACTCCTCGGTGTGTTCTACGACAAGAAAAACCTTAAAATATGCATTATCTATAACATAGCCTAGTTATATAAATCTAATGAATTGCAAGCCAAATATATCGAGCAAGAAAATACACGAAATGTCATGTACAATTTGACTTATTTATCACAAAGTAGACGTCACATTACAGTAATGGGGATGTGTTATTAAACTTATTAAAATCTATTCGTATTTTTCACCTGCACCTCAAACATATAGCTAACATCTACGTCAGTTGGTCTCTGGTGGATAGTTCTCTCATTGGCAAGCATACCACATCTCCTGACTTTATATTAATTTTACATCATTTCAGAGGATATGTAATTCATTTTTGCCTAGGTATCAGTTGAAAGGTGTTCAATATTGCAAATCAAATGAATAATTTTCTCGCTGTGTTGAAGACCCATTGGTGACTTGGGACTTTTTTCTGTCTTTTGGTCGGGTTGTCTCTTTGACACAATCCTCTTTTCTTTTTGCTATTCTATCATCTAATAAATATATTTTGTATTTGTACATGAATCATTTTGTCAAATGGGACATTTTATTGGAAATTGCGGAAAACTGACAATGCTTTGTAATTAATATAAACCAGATAATTCTTTAGTACTATTTTTAAGTGCTCTACTTTAAAATCACAATGAAGATTATTAATAATGTAAAATACGATAAAATTTTGCAAGAGTATTGTACACCATAGATAGAAAATTGCTTCTAAGATGTTTTTAAAGGTGAATGAAAGAAGGTTGTTGAGATTGGGTTTAGTATGTGTTTAAATTTCTGATATTATTTAAAGCTTATAACGTCTCATAGCTTTTTATCTCTTCCCTATCTCAACGATTCTAGCAATCTTCTTTCACTCACCATTAAAAAAATTTATTGTGTAGAAACAGTGCTTTAGAAGGTAAGAACCTGATATCTTTTTATTGCAAGATACCAATACTGTGCGCAACGCCAGTTAAATTATTTGTTATGTTTAGGGCAGACTTTTCCATTAAATGGGCATAAGCTGTCAAATTCGTGTTCGCAGATTTGACCCAAATTCTCATTTTTGATTTATAACCTACTAAAACGTATATCCAACTTACCAAAAGTCTAAAACGAATTATCAACAATGCATGGACTCGATAATATGTATTAGCATTTTGTGTGTATTTTAGTCTAGACGCCATCTAATTAACCATCGAGGTGACCTCCGAAGACTGCCGACGGTCATATAACCCGATATAAACATACATATAGATATAAATACATGTAGATAGCAAACACGTGCAATTGGATTTTTCTAGATCTGTTTGATTTCATATTAAAGGTTAAATAAATATGTTAATCATCGTTTTTACCTGTATAAAAATGAGTTTATGGGGATCGAATCAGTCTACCAAATGGTTTACCCTTGTTTAACTTTCAATGTTGATAATCATTTCCTTTTAATAGCTGAACACACCTCGTTTATGCGTAACCCATCTCTAGCTAAGGGGTTAAATAGAAGGTCTAATGAATACGTATTCAATGAGGTCGACTTATTCACTTGCAAGTGAATAATTCATCAGCGATGTTTCTTAGCTTATTTTGACAAGATTGAAATAAACTGGCTGCTAAAAGCGAATTATTTTTTACTATTTCGCTTTCATTTATGATTGAACCAAAAAAAAATCATATCTTAATCTTTTTATATCTCGTAGCTAATGCCCCTTTAAATGAGGTTTTATTTCCAGTTCCAGTATCAACGTATGTTTATCTTTTGAACGAAGGTCTCAATGATTCCCTGTGGTATAATTGTTTTTAGTATTGTGATATAAATTTTTTACATAAAGTATAAATTCATTCTGTCTTTTGTTTTTTTATACCATCAACCTACATTAATAAACACATTGATCTCTTATCCACAAATGTTTTTTTTTTCTCAACGGGAGTGTTTCTTGAGCATTGGTTTAAGAATGCTTGTTTTAAATTGAAGAGTAACGTTTTTATAATATCATGTCTTGTTTACAGTAATGAACAGAACTATGGAAAACAGTTGGAAGTTCTTCTTATTTCTTACCACCTTGCTGTCCCAATTGAATCCAGCAGTAACACAAGACAAGACAAACAAAGCGGAATCACAGCCTCCGGTTTCACTTGAAGTGTTTACTCCAGAACTTATGACACCTATCTTTAAAGTGATGCGTAAACATGGGGAAGAGGAACGAGATAAAGTAAGCCAGCAAATACAGAAAAAACATAAGAAAATTCAGAAACAAAACAAGAAAAATCATAAACAAAACAAGAATAAACCAAAACGTGCATTTGAATACAAGCAATACCTTCTAATAACCATTATGTCCGATGAAGAAATTAGAGAGGCCATATTATGGGGAGGAAAGTTTCCGGATGAATTTAAAAAAAACGAGAGATTGACATTTCTACTAAACAAACTTAATCACGGTAAGGAATATTATAATCCTGATCGACAGCTTCACGGAGAAGTAAATGCTATTCACTTTGGAGCCATTGAAAGATTGATGAACAACTTCAAAAGTAATCCAAAGACAAAATATAAATACCCAGTTATGTTACTTTATTCCCACTACATTCCCTGTGCGCATGTTCCAAGGTTGGGTTACTCGTGTTCAGAAGAGCTGATGAACTATGCTAAAGGCCGCATAGAAGAATTTCGCATGATTGTAGCTTATACCACTTGCTATAAGGACACAGATGAACATCATTCGTTCAAATTTATGACAGATAGTGGAATAGAAGCATTTGAGCATATGGTTAAAGGTCAATATACGCATTCACTGAAGGTTTATTCTCAAAACAGCATCGATGGAATACAGAAATCATTTCAAGGGGAGGCATATGATTGTATACAAAACTCTCCACTATCAACCTGTTGCACAGGTAAGGAACAGAAAAGAACTGCAATCACAGCATATTTCATTAATTATGTAACATATCAGTGCATTTCTAAATCGAAAGCTTCTCGTTTATTTACGGAGCTGTCAAGAAATCAAGTGAAAACCTGTCTTAAAAAAGAACTAGATAAAAACATCGGTGACGACTGTATCAAGTGCAGCAAAAAAAAAACAAAAACACACGTAGAGCTACCAAAGCTTTGTTTCAGTTTTGTTTTTATCGTTCTATCGAAGTTGCACCTGGTTTGGGTAAACAACTCAATAATGTTTACAATCCTGAATGGGTATTATGTCGAAATTGTAACTGGGATGCAATATACGATCCTCCTGGTCCACAGAGTGATAAGAAACGTTTACCAAAAATAATGTGTGCAAACCGCGTCAACTCTATGGAGTCACTGTGCTCATTGTATCAACAGAATGAAAAAGACAAAGAGACGAGATTGTACAGCGAAGCTTTTGATAACTTGTATCGACATAACGTACGTTCCAAAAAATAATTACATTGTTCACGTGTCAAATAATCAAAAGCTAGTTGGATAAAATGTTTCTTGTCTCGATTTTGTTTATTGTTTTAAAAGGAGACTATTTAAATGCTTACATCTAATGTATGGACAGCAGTCATGCATGTCATGATAGCATTGAAATCACAAAATTACATTGTTAAACATTTTGTTAACTGACTGTGGGAACCTATTCAGTTTTGGCTACTATAGCCGGTATCTGTTCTAACAATTATAAAGCTATGCAACTATGCATATTTCTAAAAGAAACATAGCAATGTATTCTTCAATTTGATTAACGATGGTTTTTTTGGGAAAATCTACATAAAGATGTACAGTTTGCACTATCGTATCAAAATTGTCTCTAACAACACAGTTTAAGGCCGAATTACATTTAACAATGTTTAAACGCATTTATATAGGCATGTTTACATATTTAAAACAAACGTGCGAGATTATAGGGAAAAAAGTAGTTTTACATTTTCCCGGCTTTAGGTTGGCCTTTTCTGTACCCAAGGCAGGTGAAGGAAGTCAACTTAGGAGCGCTGTGATTGGATGTAAGGGTACAATATGTTGGTTTTTTTTTTATGTATCTATAAATAACTGCAGTGTGTATATTTACAATATAAATTTTGGAAACCCTTTCAAAGATTTTCTTGAGAATTATTCGAAAAGACTTCCAAATTTTCATAAATTTGATGTAAAATGACGGTGGGCATGGATACCACAAACAAGCTCCGTACGTTGGAAGATGGTCATGATACTCTTTGACTTCAATTTCTAAAACAGAATAATAAAGTACTAAAGCCACACATAACTGTTTTGTCCAGGTTTTTATTATAAAAAGTGGTAAATTTAGAAAATGTTAGTATTGTCGCCTATGGCAGAATAAATACTATACCGTTTTTCCTTAAATTCCATTTGGTTTCAGCACCATTTCAATTTTGACATTGTTACATATGTAGTAAAATTAATTCAATTTACTATACGTTTTAAGAAAATAAAATTAATGCAAATGTTTATTTTACAATAACTTTTGAGGATGCATCAAATTTAATGTCCTTTCGTATCCTCTGCGTCCTTTTTATTTGTCTTTGTTAGGTTTTGATTTTTAACAAATTATATTGGCCTTTTTTTTTTTAAATTTTAAGTATATATTTCAATGTTAGTAAATAGTAACATGTTCGCAATGTATTCTATATTGTAGGCGAATGTTGACAAAATAGTGGTTACACAAATGAATTATACATAACTAAATTTGTATTTTTTTCAAGTGGGATGTATAAAGACACACTTACGTTCGTTTAGATCTATAAAGAGGTTAAACTCCTAACTATCCTACTGTCTGTCGATACATTTATTTTTGGCATTGCACTAGTCATGTCTTCTTTGACTGTCCATGACGTTAAAATACTAAATCCCTGGGATGTGTTTTAGTTGATTTTAGTCTATGATGCATGATTTTTTATTATTAATTGTTTTGGCTTTTAACTAGCTGTCAGTAACTGCGAGTACTCTCAAATCGTACGTTCTTGTTTATTTGACCTGTTGATACTAATTGTATTGCTTTTTTTGTTATTTAATGTTATTCAGGGTTATATCTGGTCTATATACCAGCTTTGATAAGTGTTTGGTATAACTATAAATTTTCACTTCGTACTATGAACATCAAAATTATTTATTTTGTAATAATATTTCCTTTCTCTATTGGTACTGTATACGTATACCTAACAACAAAATTATTTTCATTTACCTGTGTTTAAAGTTATTGCAAATGGATGGTATTTTTGTTCGAGCATATTGTTTTTCTTTAATTGTTTAACATTTCTTACCGATATAACATGTTACTTTTATTATTCTTCCCTTAGTTTATTTATTTTGTATTTACATTGTGTCATAGGTCAAATTTATTTGTTCAGTGTATGTTCAATGGTGTTAATATGTCCTTTGATTGAGTTAAGCTATTTCAGTTCATATTTTATAGTGTGTCTTTCTATGTTGTGATGTTACACTATTGTTTCAGAAAAAGGGTGAAGGTTTGGTACCATTAAAACGTTTAAACCCGCTGCATTTGTTTGCACCTGTCCTAAGTCAGGAATCTGATGTTCAGTAGTTGTCGTTTGTTGATGTGGTTCATAAGTGTTTCTCGTTTCTCGTTTTTTATATAGATTAGACCGTTGGTTTTCCCGTTTGAATGGTTTTACACTAGTAATTTTTTGGGGTCCTTTATAGCTTACTGTTCGGTGTGAGCCAAGGCTCCGTGTTGAAGACCGTACTGTGACCTATAATGGTTTACTTTTATAAATTTTGACTTGGATGGAGAGTTGTCTCATTGGCACTCATACCACATCTCCTTATATCTATATAATTAATTTTCATAACAAAATCCTCCTAAATAAAAAGTTTAATATTTGAGTACCAATTTTCCAAGATGCTAGTACTATTCTTTTATGTCATAGGAATTTATTTCACTGGAATTTTGAAAATAAATATCTGAAAAGTATCAATGTGGTAATATATTAAATATCTTCATGAACATAAATTCTCCAAAAGAACAACTTAAGATAGGACATTAGACATTCCTGACTTATAAATATGTGAAGGGCGTAAAATAGTTGTTCAGAATATCTTAACCTCCCCCATTTTCATTTTAATCAATGAAATAAAAAAATAAAGATGCAATCAAGCAATTAAGAACATATAATAAAAATCAGTATTATAGTTAAGGAAAAACACGTGATTCATAATAACGGTATACGTACAGTTATAGATCACAAAAACACAAGCAAAGAAACAATATATCAGGTTATTATATAGCAATTTGTCATTTCATATCCGATATTAATCTGTGACACCATTATCAGCCAGAGGGTTGAAAGCCCGAGGTCTAATATTAGCTGACGGTTGACTACATGTATACATGAGATATGATACAACAAATTTAAATATCACAACAGCATAACCTTTTATAAATCATAAACTTTCAATTCCTCTCACATTGGTAGACATGCAATATGTCAATATCACAAATACTAAAGACATATTTATATGCTTTACAAAGAGATAACATGCACATACGTGTACATTCAATAAATATAAACCAAATGTATCAAATAATGTTATTTAACAAAAAGATACTATTACAGAATAGTATTCAACAGTGTTAACAATTTGTCGTGATTGGAACGACTATAAATTCCGGGAAATAGTACAGTAAATGTAAACAGCGAAAATGATCAGTAATGGAAGATTATCAAACATGCCAATTCGACGGGAACGATAAACTGATCTCACTTCATTGCCTATACATGACGATTTTTGACATTTTTTTTTAATTATCTTGTATCTTGAAACTATAATACATAGACAGAAAATCTACCAACAGAAAATATCAGCAACGCAAAATATAATACAATTCCAACTAACTGTAGCCATAAATCAACCCCGTGTAGTTAATTGTCTAAAAAAGAGACGCAAAACACTGTCTGATATGAAATTAATATGAAATTAATATTATTCGTTCATTTTCTAGAGAAAACCTAAATCATATGAAATTCTGGTCCCTCAGCAAACCTGTTTTAGGACAGATGCATTAAGGTCAACATGATAACGACCTGCCTACTCTACCGGCATCATTTGTTCTTACTTTAGAGCGACTTCAGGAGATAACAGCTGTTGAATCAGATGTTCTTAAACATCAACGTCAATTTAACCCAGATGGTATATCAAACCATATTCTAAAGTGCTGTGCTCACTCTCTGTAAAGGGGTAAATTCAGTAAATAAATATACGTCTTCAGGGACCGCCCATTTGGGGGAGAGCTTTCTGTATAACACAGAAGTCATATGCTCTCCTGATTGGTAGATAATGTTTTTAATAAATATTTTTAGATAGATGGATCAAAAACTAGAGTTAAAAAAGAATACAAAATGAATGCTGAATGCACTTAATTGTTTTACTTGGTTGAAAAGTAATGGGGGTCAGTGTAGAAATTAAGTGCGAATCTACAGGCCATGTGAATGCTAAAAAATGCCGCATGCCCCTAGGTTTTAATTGTTGCAAAAGATGGGACCATCTTTGTACTTTAATGAATGATATATGAAAGCTTCTGATTTCTAAAGGTAAACCAGGTATAAATTTAATTCAAGTCATAGATTTGCATTAAAGTCAATGGGATATTTTTTCACTGAATTTACCTCTATAAGCCACTCACCAAACTGTTCAATTTTTCACTTCGTTCTGGAGTTTATCTACTTTGGAAAGTATCGTATGTGTGTTCAGTGTACGAAAACAAATGCGATAAGAATATGATGTCTATTTATCGACCTATTGCTCTACCATCATCTGTGTCAAAGATCCTTGAGAAAATCATCTATAAGGCTATTTATGAGTTCTGTAAATTTTATGATTTACTTATCAAAGAGAATTCAGTCTTTGAGAAAAACGATTCAACAGTAATTCAGCTAATTACTATTACTCATGAAATTAACAAGTCATTAGATAACGGTAAATATGTCTGTATAAAATCTTTTAAGATGTGTCTAAGACCTTCGATAAAGTTTGGCACAAAGGTCTTTTTTCAAACTTTTTGGCATATGTGGTTCTCTTTTGTCTCTTATAGAACATTACCTTTCGGGTCGTACTCAAAGAGTCGTTATTAATGGCCAGACATCATTGAGTCAAAACACTTATGCTGGTGTACCCCAGGGTTCTATACTAGGTTCTCTGTTTTTTCATATTTATGTTAATGATAATTAAGAAGGCATTATCAGCAATATTAAATTTTGTGCTGCTGATACTTCTCTCGTAAAACAAATAGACGACATCTCAGATTGTTTTCAAACTCTAAACAGTGACATCGACACGTTGAACACATTGTCCCAGCAATGGTGTGTTACTTTCAATGCAAAACAACTGAATATCTTATAAAATCTAAGAATAAGAATACCCCACTACTCTCCGTTGATCTTAAAACATGTAGATATAAAGAGAGTTAAACACCATAAACATGATAAACATTTAGGTCTTATTTTGAGAGATAAACTTTCTTTGGCCGATCATATTGATGACATTTGTAAGCTAAACACTATCCTGAGGATGCGACATTTATTACCTAGAATATGCATCGACAAACTATATAAACCATGTGTTCATTCATTACTTGACTATGCAGATGCTATCTATGATAACTGTTCTAGCATTGATTCAATAAACATTGAACACGCACAGAGACGCGCATGTACTATATCTACTGGACAATCAGGGTCACACAACATGACACTTTATTGAAAGAGGTTGGACTTGTGCGTCTTAAAACACACCGTAAACTTACATATCTGTACAAAATTAATAGTCATCTTGTTTTAGGTTATCTCTGTAATTTTCATTCATTACACCATCATAACACTGAAAACTATAAATTAAGACGTCATGCCAACTTGATTCCAATCAGGTCAAGAACAGTAGCATACTTTAATTCTTTTCTTCTAGCTACGATTAGAGACTGGAATAGCTTGTCAGCTGAACTAATGTCAGCAACATCTTTGGCGTGTTTTAAAAGGTTGTTAAAAAAGAATCTGGATCTTTGTAGTAAGACAATATATTCACGTGGGCATGGTTATGAGAAAAAGATTTCGCTTAGGGCTTTGTGTCCTTAATGACGAATTGTATAAATATAATTTCTTACATTAAATACGTTTTGCGATTTCTGCCAAGGTAACTCTTTTGAAAGCAGTGAGCACTATTTAATTCATTTTGTCCATTACACGAACTATCGGATTACTCTTTTACTTGGTATTTTAAGAATCTGATTTGTCCAGATCTAAATATAGCAATATTGCGGGATCTTTGTCTTAACAACCTGAGCAAAACTTTAATAGAAGGTAGTGACGATTTTTCTGATGAAGCTAATTTAGAGCTGTTTGAGTGTGTGTTTCAATATATTAAATCTTCAAACAGGTTTTCTCGATAGATCAATAATTTATTTGTATTATGATTTTCCTTGTACCAAAACATATTAGGTAAGAAAAACATATATACACTTATATATATATATATATATATATATATATATATATATATATATATATATATATATATATATATATATATATATAAGTGCCTATAAATAGCAACACATAATAAGTTAACATACAAATCTATTTTAGTGTGGATTAATCAGTACACAGATTAATAAAAAAAATGTTAATTACACAAATGAAATTATAAATTGCCTAATAATTGCCTGTAATTTTAACATACTATTTAGTATGTTAATATTAAAATGTTAAAAATATTTACAATGCAATAAAAAATAAACGAAATATTTCGCTAGACAAACTAGCTTCATCGAGCGTGCATCTATCCAGGTGAAATCGGATGCAGATAAGAAACTTTTGCAGCTCATTGTACATTAATTTTGCTGCCTAATAAATAAATTCAAAATTTGGAGGAAGTTCAAGATTTTTCATTTAATTACGAAATTTGTTGTTGAAGTTTGTAACGACCGTTGGCCAATTTTACAGATATATAATTATTATTATTTATTTATTTATTTATTTATTTATTTATTTATCTGTTTATTCATTTTTATTATTTATTTGTATTTTTTATTTATCTATTTTTTATTTTCTTCATTTGACCTGATTGTATTCGTTATCGTCTTTCCTTAATCAGTATTTTATATTACGGAGTTCCACATGATTGTGAGTTGTGTATGTCTGAGTAAGAATGAGTGAGTGGTTGTATGGATATAAAGTTTACATCTTTATGTCTTGTCCTGCACACATTTTCTTGTCTTGTGTTACATTTGTAAACGTGATTGTAAACAAAAATCAACATTTTTTTAATTGTGAATCTGTATAATCATGTTGAGGAGACCCACATGTAGCCTCTGGCTGTTGGCAATCCTCTTTAAATAAATACAGAATTAGATTACCCCCGTGTAGGAGTTATTGCCATACAATGTCAATGTTGGCCAAATTGTTGCATTTTTTTCATTTTCTTAAAAACTACAAGAGATAGACAAAAACTGTAAGCAGCAGAGATAACCAGCAATAAAAAAGTTACAAAACACCACATTACACAAATTGTCAACACCTTAAATGACTATTTTTGATGAGTTTTACAATTTTTTCCAATTTTCTTAAAGTATCAAAGATTGGCAGGAACTGTAAACGGCATATAAATATGTCAATACATGTATGACTGAAATATTATCTTGATTCCTTAGAGGATTTAAACATTTTGTCCTACAATATCGATTTTTAACAAGTTTAAGCACTATAGTTCAGGCGCTTTTTTTCAAACTATAAAAGAACGATATAGAGACTTTCAGCAACAAAATCATGAGATATAATAAATACAAGAGGGTCTGGATGGGAGGTCCTTCATTTCTTGATTCTTTAACTTCTTTTTGCCATTTTTCTCTATTCTTTGTTTATTTTTACCATTATTCTCTTTTCTTTGTTTATTTAAGATATTGAAGAAAAAAAAAACAGCGGA